AAAGAGGCTCACATGGCAGCAAATCTCCCAAATACTTTACAAAACAAATTGCATCTGGTCTGAACACTAGCAAGAAAATAATATTTAACCTAAGAGGTTGTGTGTGTTTCATTCATGTTTATAAATGCTCACAGTAAGATCTTTCTTAGCAAAATTCTTTAGCCTGTGTCTGTTTCCAATTCTGCCCAAAAGTCACCTATGAACAGACAGGGATCCTTAGGACCTGACTCTAAGAGGAGACAGGAAAGTCATGTTTGGGTTTTTCCCCCACAAAATCCAAGAGCAGACTCCACCTTGGCAAAGGTTTTGACCAACCACGAACTGCTTTCACACGAGGCAGACGCAGACTGCAGTTAGGTGAGTACGACTTACTGAGCCACCACCAGCCCAGAACTGGGCTCAAGGGGTTTGTCCACCTCTGAGACACACAGACGTGGTATTATCTGAACAGAGTGAAGATTCGAGCTCTCACATTTGCTTCTCTCTTATAGAATCATAGAATGACAGAATGGTTTGGGTTGAAGGGACCTTAAAGACCATCTAGTTCCAACCCCCCTGCCATGGGCAGGGACACCTGCCACTAGACCAGGTTGCTCAAAGCCCCATCCAACCTGGCCTTGAACACTGCCAGGGATGGGGCAGCCACAACTTCTCGAGGCCACCTGTTCCTGAGTTTCACCACTTCTTTGAAATTATTTTTCCTAGCTGTTCAGGATGCAATTTAACACACCACAACTGTCATTTGCATGCATAAAGTGTATAGGGCAATTTAGATACATTCGAGATATTCCCACTTCAGGTTTGGATGAATCAGGTTTAACAGAACAAGTGGCAATTGACATTTCTGTCTTCTACTCTGTCTGTAGAGCACCCAGTCTGAAGCCTTGCTCCCAGGTAAGGCTCACTGGCAGGTATCATAGGTCACGGGAATCATTAAGAACCATAACAAAAATTCCCAGCATCCATAAAATTTGCATTTTATGAGAATAAATTAACAGCAATATCTTCCACTCCTCTGCAAAGCCAACAATATCATCTCTCCCCTCTTGATTGCTTTGCTAACGGAATAGTGTATTGCACCTCACTGCTGCTTTTGTTTGCTTCCCCACGAAAAACATATGAAACATAACAAAAAGCTTGTTGATAAGCCTATTGAGCCTTGCAATTCATAAGGTTATTAGCCCTACAAGCTTTAGAACATGATATTTCCCTCCCTCATCACAATAGTATAGATCTAAAGTGTCTAAACTGGCATTGTGTGTCTTTGCTAAGGGATCAAAAGAATAAAAATGAAAAAATACACCAAAGACTGTCTGCATGGTCTGTTGGTATAACCCCAAACATTTTAAAACCATAGCAGGTTAGTGGTCTGGATAAAGGCAAGGTGCTAAATCTCATCGTTCCCCTCTCAGATGCTCACAGTGAAACCTCAGCATGGCTTTTTTTGGAGGCAGCTACCTGGAAACTTTGCTCTGAGCTCAACGTTTTTCTTGCTTTCAAGAACATCGAGAGACCAAAGAGGCCAGGATGGTTTGCTTTGAGACCGTAGCAAGGTGCAAAATGGAAATTAATCATACTCACAGCCTATAAATCTGTTTCTGACTCAGTGATAATAGAAAATCCCAGCAAGACACAAAGACAGAAGGAAAACGGGAGTCAGAAGGTGGGTTTTTTCCTTTGGTCGCTATTGCTGTGTTCTCACCACCAGCAAGGGGACGCGACCAGACCCTTCGCTTCACCACTGGGCAGATCTTGTCTACAGAGGCATGAAGGAGCTAAAAAGTTGCTGCAGATGCAACACTTGACTACTTCTGTGCATTTCCCTGCCACGACTGTTTCTACTCCCATTAAACTTGGTTATGATCCAGAAAAAATAACAGGGGTTGGGGGTTATAAAGCCAAACGGTGCAGGGGGATGGAAGCACAGCTCCTGCCTCCCCTCCTGCCCTCTGATACCTAACTGGGCAGTGACTGTCTCTGCCCACTCCCTGAGCACGTGGCACTCGTGCCCGTGGGCTGGAGCCTGTCCTGGGTGTTATTCACTCTGCTCCTGTGCCGCCACGGTGTTTGTGCAGGAGTGCTCCCTGCGGAGGATGCGATAGTCTCATCAAAGGTCAGGTGTGTATTTTCTGAGCCCACCAAGGCCCGCGTTGGCTGCTGTGGATAAACAGCTCTGCCTTCCTGTTCCAACTTCAGAAGTTCTCCAGAAGCAGAGAGACATTTATTGAGCCAGCGGTAATGCTGCTCCAGCTCCTAGCTGACAGGGACAGCTCCTGCACCCACCCATGGCACTGCAGCCCGCACTTAAAAGATGCTTAAAAACCTCATTTCCAATGCAATTCCACTCAGACATCATTCCCCTCTAAGCCCGCGTTAGCAATGGTTAAGGCTCTGGCAAGGCACCTTCTGATGCACAGGTTTGATCTAGGGGGAGAAAAAGAAAATCAAAAAGGCATTAAAGCCAGAAGCGGCGCTGCCGCCTCCCGCTCCGTACCGGCGTTTTGGTCGGCTTGCTTTGCCTGGACACATCCTTGGAAGCTAGGAAGCGTGCAGCAAGCAAGCGCTGTTGGACTACGTAAGGAATGGGGTGCAAGATCTGTGGACATACAGATAACATGAACCTCGGGGTCCGGGTTGCCACTCCATTTCGAAGTGCTTGTGCATCATCCCTGGAAGTGCTCAAGGCCAGGATGGATGAGGCTTTGAGCAACCTGGTGTAGTGGAGGGTGTCCCTGCCCATGGCAGGGGGGTTGGAACTAGATGATCTTTGAGGTCCCTTCCAACCCAAACCATTCTATGATCATCAGAGCTATGCATGTCACTGTCACAGCAAAGGGGGTGAAGCTGCAGCCTGATCCTCCCATGCCAGACGCAGAAATTAGCTTTAAAGTCACGTTTCCAGCCCTACTTCAGACAGGAATTGTTGGCTGCGTCATAGTCACTATCCTCAGGGTTTTGCAGTCTAAATCTATAATTATATATGTTCTCTTTCCTGGTTACAGTCAGCGTACACAGAGACAACGTGGGCAGAGACAGCGTGAGTTTCCTTACCCGGCTCCGCCAGTCGCGCTCCCTGGCACGGCGTGGAGCCGTTCACCGCATCCCATCGCGCAGGGATGTAGAACCTGAGCCCGTCATCCCAAACGTCACCGTCTCCCACGGACCGCCTGGCACCTCGCAGGCCCTCTGCCAGGTGCACAAACCTCCACGCCGCTTCTGCTGAGGCCACCACGTTCCTGCTACGTTCTACGGGAAATGACGAGAACAACGCTCGTGGTGAAAATATTTCCGATTTATAGATGTTCTTGCATTTTTGTCACATTCCTTAGCGTGCGTTCGGAAAAACCAATCTGCATGAAGTACAACAACACGACAAACAGGCTCTCATTATTCTCCGTGCACCACCACCAAATGTTAAAGTCGTCTGACAATTTATCTGGAGGAAAGAAAAAAAAAAGAGAGCAGACAAAACTTGCTCAACCCATTAAGGGGAGACTCGGTAACTGCAATGTGGTGGTAATTAACATTTTTACTATGCTTATTTGTGCGTGTCAACATAATTTATGCATTCAAAACTTTCTCGAATAGATCCTACAAGAAGTTGCTGCCTAAGAAAAGATGTCAGTGCTGAGCTAAAAAGACACCTGTCAAAGCTGAAACCCAATTTCTGTTCAGATGCAACAAGGATCTCGATGATCTGAGAATGTCTGAATAGCTGTTGAAGTAGAAGCCAGAAAGAGAAAAGAGCCTAGATCGACAAGAAAAGGCAGTTTTTGAGGAGAACGAGGAGAAAAGGATGTAGGAAAGTTTGATGTGACTTAAGAAGGGGAGATCACACTTTAAAGAGATCAAACTTTAAAGGAGTCAAGCAAAGATAACATAAATAGTATAAATAGTAGGGAATAGGAAAAAGAGTTGGGTGGCTTTGACAGACACAGTTTTTTATATATGTTATTGCCCTGTATCTCAGGGTTCTCCAGTGGATAAGGCTAAGACAGACAAGGAAAACATATCAGATATTTCATACTATGTTTAGATGTCAACAAAATATTCTGGCTCAAGCAAATTTGCACATTTTCATCTACGGAATCTCAGTACAAAACCATTTTTTCTGCTCTCTAAGTCCTTGAGATGTCACGCCAACAAGCACTATGTCATTTGGGGATGGAAAAAAAGGGAGTGACGTAGGGCAGAAGTTACGGTAGCACAGCTGAGCCAATGGAACAACTATGGTGAGGAGGGAAAAAGTGGGACACAAACCTGCAGACCTGTAGTAACTGCAAGGTCAGTGAGGGACTCAGAAGATGCCAACTGCTCATCAGGGCACTCACCATCTACAGACTGGACTGAAAGGGGTGAATTGCTCACACCTGAGCAGGTTTTTATGCAATCTGGAGCAAGCTTCAGGGTGGAAAACAGGTCAGCTGGATGCAAAACATCTGTCAACAGTCTCATTTCATCTGCAAACAGTCCCAGTCTGATCAGCTGGAAGAGAAGCAAAGTTACCTCTCGCTTGGCACAGAATTATGAGAAAATATTCAAATCACAACTCAGGAGTGGCTCATTTCCTTCTGAACAGGCAACATTTGCGAGGGAGAAATCTCAGCTGTTCCGCAGATTAGCTCTTGGCATTTCTGGAGAAGGCTAAGATGCCAGTTTAAATTTGTGACATGAGACCTAAAGTACCTTCAGGAAATAAGTGGCTACATCTGGAACAGCAATCATTTGTCGGAGGTGAGAGGACACACCTTTTTTCTCCAAAATGCAGAGCATTTTCCATCTGTTCTTCATGCTCTCTTAACTCACTGCTATTTTCTTTCTACTTGTCTGTGCCATTTAAATAAACAAGGATATTGCAGCCTCTTTAAAGGAGCCGTCCTTTTCCGCAGAAGCTTTTTGATAGGAAGAGTCTTCTCCGTAACGACCTGCTAAACAGAAAACAAATAGGTACTGAACCCTAGATCAAGCTTCACGTTGTGAACTTACCTGTGCTTTCAAATTTGCTGGTAAGAAGATAAAATGAAACTAGGAGTCTGTCTTGCTCTACAGGCAGTCGAGACACAGAGGTGGTACCCAGGCGTGGAGTACTGCTCAGTACCTTTGGTTCTCCATGAGTGATGGCAAGGAGCTTCGCTGCCCTGCAAAATGCCAGCCCTGGATCGTTCCTCGGTGACCATCGTTGCTTATAAAGGTCCTCAAGTAGGAGAGAAGTCATGTTGCTGTCATACAATTCGGTGCCCAAGCTGACATGCCTTTTGTCTGAACGTAAGCTACCCAGGAGCCTGGCCTCCCCTCGTGTTCTCCTCCTCTTATAAAAGGCTTCATCCAAAAATATCACATGCCAAAAGACTGAAGTTTTGGGTTTCTCACTGAAAACCTGTTGCAGCTGACTGGATTTTTCTTGCTCTGTGCAAGCATTTCTTCATACCCAATTATGTTCTAGCACATGATACAACTCCTGAAGAAGCTACATCTGCCTCCCTTATCCTTCCATCACTTGCATTAATATCTAATTTACCAATTTCATCTTTCTCGCTGTCTCCACCTTGTGAATTCCCCTTTTAGCACCAGGGTCTTCAAGGGTTTTTTTGGATCTGTACCCCTCCCCACAGCCGCCAGCTTTGGAGGTAATCAACTGCTTCTTCTTAATCAAGAGTACAGATTACTATGTATAAACACAAAATCCAATATTAGAAAAGCTAATATCACCTCAGCCTTCAGGGAACAGGAAAGGACACCAATGCTGAGGATGAGGATTGTTCCCTGTGGACAGGAGAGTGGATATTCTCTAGCTCCTTACTGCAGAGTTTCATTGCTCCAGTCTCACAGGGAAAGTGTTGCACATGAAAAGGACCAGCTCTCCATTCAGCTCGACACTATATTGACTGCCAGAAGCAAACATGTAGTCCACAAAAAAACCCTGCGACTCTTTTTTCCTTCCAAAGAGCCTGCCTGCTGACAGCCAGTTCTTTCATTCGAGCAGTAAAAGTTCATGCTTTTAAACCCAATTCCCATCATGTAAGTACACTGCAAAAAATTACATGATGGACTTCAGTATTGCACTTTTCAATAAAGACTGAGTGAGCCCCAGCTGTGAGGAGTGCAGATAGACAGGGTGTAACTTTCAAAGGGGCTGAAGGCCTCTTTTCAAAAGCAAGAAGAACTGGGAGCTGAAGGACCCGACTGCGCAGCAGCAAGGAGCACACCTGAATTAACTCTTCATGGGAGCACCGCACGCATCACTCATCTGGTCCTCAACACTGACTAATCACGTGGGTATGGTGGGACTCCAGCCATCTCAGTGGGGTTTATGGGTGTAGGGACCATGCCCTGGGGACAAGGTGATGCAGCGAGCATCATCTCCACTAGCTCAGGGACCTCTGCAGAGGGCTCCGGCACCCAGCACGGGCCTTCCTTTTGTCATTACTTCATGAGATCCGAGATGCTCCAGACAAGGACAACAAATAATGAATGAGCAACTAAGAAAGCGAAGCTCAGAAGGTTCCCAGCCTCTTTACCGCAGCAGGAACAACAGGACCACGTTACGGATAAAGAGATCCCTTGAAACTCAAACAACCCTACAGTTCTCTGCCTTGCCAAATTTCATAACATCAGCACCATCTGAGCCAACAGGACAGGAGCTAAAAATACTCTGACTCAACTCGTTGCAGGCTTCTGATATAAGGGCAGAGTCTCTTTTAACATGTGCTCTTTGGAAGCGCTGAAGCTTGTGGCCTTAGGGCACGTCTATGCCATGGGCACACTCAGCCAGCTCGGACACCGCTAACTGCGCATCAAAGACGTGACCCGCCAGGCGCAACCCAGAGATTTTCCCATTTCCCCGGAACGATTGGCAGTTCAGCCCTGCTGTGGTTTCCTGGTGTGCATCTGAGAGGCAACGTGTGAGTCCTTCAACGCCAAATGACACGCGATGTTCTTAAGCCACATCAAACTGCTTTGCCGTCCCTGGAGCTCACAAGCCGTAAGCTGGCTATTTCTGTTCCAAATGTCAGAGATGGGAAACACGGAGCCTGATAACTTTGAATTTCCCAGGGCTATTTTCTAACCTACAACCTCTCCCGAAGCCCCGCTGACACATCTGGGGTGGTGTAGCGTTAGTAGGGGCTGGAGGTGGATTTTGAAGAAGAGCACAGATGCAGACTTCGTGTCCTCTGCTATCCTTCTGAGGTCAGTCCCATTTTCTGCAAGAATGAACACAGTACAAGAACAAAATGTACTTACTACGTTTTTTTTTTCCCCCTGCGTAAAGTGGGCTTTTGATTCTCCCCTTCCTAATTTTAGCCATGTGGCTTTTTTGTCTCTTGTATCACTAATATTTCTCTTCAGAAAGGGGTAGTTCGTGGCTCACCTGCCCATCTCTGCACCCTGAGCAGTGTGTTTCACAGTTCACAACACATCATCCAACCAGCCTGTGACCAGGTTATGCATCTTTCCAACCTGGGCAGTCAAATACTCTTTATTCTGCACAACACCAGATCCATGAATGACCTTCACTTCAAGAGGAAACATGCAGAACCCATCCGAACCATATTTGCTTTTTTAACCTCCCCAAAGCACGGCGAGGCGTGTTTGCTGACTGCAGCCTCTCTAGCATGAAGAGAAGCTGGCCAGGCAAGCCCTGCACCCTGCTGTGGATGAAGATGTTACAGTTGCCTGGGAAACCGCTCCATGGGATCACTAAAATGTATTCTATATGTTTGCCTTCAGATACAAGATTATCACCTTGTCTACGAGCAATGTCAGGAGAAAATCCTGACACCAGATAAACTTAGATTGTAACCTGCAGAAATCAATTAACTCCTTTATGGTACCAGCTGAAATTTCACGGAGCTAAAACCAATATAAAATGTCTCCTTCTCCAATATCAAACAACTCTTCCCTGAAAGAGTAAAGGTGGGTCACAGCTAAAGCATCTCACTCCTCAGCAAAGGACACAAGCTTTAAATCTGCTGGTATATTATTAGTGGGTGAAAGAATTGGTTGAGGTGAGAAAAAAGATCTATAATCAAAGGAGATGGGATTATTCAAGGACTGAGAGTATTTATTTAGAGTCAATACTTGCAAAGTTGGATATTTTCTTTTTTTTTTTTTTTCCTGTTTTAAGAAAGAATACAGAAGGAGCACTGGTAGCCATCAGGTAGCCACAAACCAGCCACAGATGGGTGGTGGGGGACAGTCTCTGTTTGCACTCTCTCAGAGCAACAAGCAATTTCAGGATTTGTGCTTAACCAAGACATCAGAGCTTTGCCACGTTCCTTTCCCAAGTTTTTCTCTGGTATCACAATCATGACATTGCACGCAAAACCCCACAGACTCTATGGGGAAGAAATTCCAGCAAGAGCTGGCAAATGCTAGTTTGGGGGAAAATAGCAATAGCTATTAATGGGTTTAATAACAAGCAGGAAGGAGTAAGGAATTAAGGTCAGATGATATTTTACTACAACATAACAAACCAACAAGCCTCAACAGGACTGCACTATGTCTAAATGCGCTGGTGGTATGAGACTGGTTTTAGAGAAGAAAGAACAATAAAGTAGAACAGAATATTGCTCAAAATTTCCTATTTCTGGCAGCAGCTTAAACAACAAATCCAGTATAATTTCACTGCTTGCTTACCTTCAATCAAAAAACAACACTGTGCTTTAATGTGTCCTGTGGGTGTAGTCAGCTCTTAAGTTAAAATCCAGGCTTAATATCTTCTACTCATAATTTAGGTCACGGGCTGTGAAAGAACATAGGAAATAGAGAGAAATGTCAAGCTTTGCAATAGATGTTAAACCACCATCCTGTGCTCGAGGGTCCCAGGGCATCAACTGCACACAGTCCTCTTCCCTGAAAGAGCCAAGTCTTGCAGCCAAAAAAGAGAGGCTGAAGTCATAGAATCATAGAATGGTTAGGGTTGGAAGGGACCTCAAAGATCATCTAGTTCCAACCCCCCTGCCATGGGCAGGGACACCCTCCACTACACCAGGTTGCCCAAAGCCTCATCCAGCCTGGCCTTGAACACTGCCAGGGATGGGGCAGCCACAACTTCTCTGGGTAACCTGTTCCAGTGTCTCACCACCCTCAATGAAAAAAATTTCTTCCTTAGATCTAATCTAAACCTCCCCTCTTTCAGTTTAAAACCATTGTCCCTTGTCCTGTCACTACACGCCCTTGTAAAAAGTCCCTCTCCAGCTTTCCTGTAGGCCAAATCCCGACAGGATTTAAATCCTGAGTTACCAGGGCTTTACTAGGGTCTGTCGACAATCTCTGCGGCTGCTTGACCAGCTAAGGTCAGCAAAAGTTCTGCTCTGAGTGCCTCACACCCTGTGGGTGGCTGAAAAAGGAGGGTCAACAAGGAGCAAATGGCAACGTTAAAGGAATCACTGGGATGATGCCATTCATGCACATGGAAAAGGGGAGAAAAAAGGTGTTGAAAGAGCAGATTGCAATAGTAGCAGTCTGGGAGCATCTTGGGTATTCTTCCCAGTCATAGAATCATAGAATTGTTTGGGTTGGAAGGGACCTCAAAGATCATCCAGTTCCAACCCCCCTGCCATGGGCAGGGACACCCTCCACTACACCAGGTTGCCCAAAGCCTCATCCAACCTGGCCTTGAACGCTTCCAGGGATGGGGCAGCCACAGCTTCTCTGGGCAACCTGGTCCAGCACCTCACCATCCTCAGAGTGAAAAATTTTTTTCTTATATCCAATCTAAATCTGCCCTCTGTCAGTTTAAAGCCATTGCCCCAGTCGCTGGCTGGTGTTCCAGGCCTTCACTTAAAAAATACCCACAAAACACATCACCCTTCCAGTGTTGTCTCTGTGACACGACTTGTGAGGTTGTGTTCAGTACTCCAGCCCTGGTACTGTATGTCACTAGCATTACATCACTGTCATCATTCATTGCTGTGTGACTCTCTACAGTTTATTGTGCTCATACTTATATAAACATAATTACACTGCACAAGGCTATAAACTCCACATGTTGGAGGACGTAAGTACCTTTCTTCTAGTATTTATTAAATTGTGTTTATGCACATTCTTACTAATTTATATTGCACCTTGCTTGTTAAATATAGCAGCAACATATAATTGAGTCTTCCATTCTTAATGCTGATTTTTTTTTTTTTATTGGTAAAATATACGTGCATAACTTTTTGTACATCAGAAAATCATCTGGAGTCTTAGATAAATACAGCAGTGCTGTAA